GACTTGACGGTAGGACTAACGGTGCAACAAAACACCTAATTGAGTGACCTCTGCAACTAATATTTGAGTTGAGTGACCAAAATGTAACTTGGGGTATAATTGAGGGACTATTGCTGCGAATAATCCCCTTGTCAAATATGCTTGACATGAGTATAAACAAGTGGCAACAATGTTGAAGGGAAATCTTTTGGCTGAAAGAGAGATTCGCCATCAAATTCTTCTCCATTTCCAAGCTTTGCTGTGGCTACAATATGTCTATCTATGGTACTTGCTCCAACTGTTAGAATCCAGGGGGCTTCATTAGAAAGAGTGCCATTAAATGGGCCAGAATTTCCAGCTGCACAACTTACAAATATTCCCTTTTGGATTGCTGCAAATGAGCCTATTGCAGTACTGTCTTTGAAAAATGGAACTGAATCTTCACCAAGAGAGATTGAGATCACATCCACACCATCCTGAACAGCCGCTTCAAGCGCAGCTAGTATATCGGCCTCAGGACAGGGTTCTCCGAAGCACACTTTGTATATTGCCAGGTGAGCATAAGGCGCTATCCCGACTGCTGTACCTTTTGCATTTCCCAGCACATCAGCATTCTGCACAAATGCACCAGCAGCTGTGCTTGCTGTGTGGGTCCCATGTCCGTCTATATCATTTGGTGCCTCAGGTTGATCTCCTTTCAATGCCTGAGCTGCAAGATTGAAAGCCCTTGCACCAATTAATTTGTTATTGCAGTCTGACGCATTAAAGTCACACCTCCCTTTCCATTTTGCAGGTGGAGGTGGAATTCCTGCACCACTAAATGAAGGATGGTTGGGCTCAATTCCACCATCCAGTACTCCAATGATCACTCCCTTCCCAAAATTGGATTCTTTCCATATACCTGTTTGTTGATGCAGCCCCAAGAAGTTGGGTGTGTGTGTAGTTTTCCGACGAAATACTCTCTCAGGATGTGCTGCCACAAAGCCATCCATCTCCTTCATTGCTCTCACTCCCTCCTGAGTGAGTCTAGCTGCAAAACCACTGATCACTTCTTGGTACGAGTAAAGCATGCGTGGCTGTTCATCTGAGCTTGCTGTGGTAATGGCTGGCAGGAAAGATTCATGCCAGCTCTTCAGGTCTTCTGTTTGAGCAAATACCCTGCCCTCTGGTTTCCTTACATGGACAATATATGTTTGCAAATTGCCCGATTTAGTAGTGGTTGGAAAGAGGTCATTTTGCTGAGCAATTACACAATAGAAGCTAAACAGGTTTTCACGAAAGTGTCGAAATGTATCTGTTGGAGCTTTATGGTTCGGCTCCTGGTGAAGTTTATGCTATTGTAGCCTTATTATCGTCTCGTGTCCCATGGAGAATTTTATTTAGTGACTCTACTTCTCCTTAGGCGGCAACATGGATGCTGTGCAGGTTTTTGTCTAGTACTTTAGTTCGAGTTTAGTACTGTGTCCGACTGTCTTGCCAAGCTTGATTTGGTTTTACACTAGTACTGCATGTTTGACCAGTTCAAAGGATGGCTCCATATTTCCTTCAACTTTTTGTTTTGAACTGGACGGTTCTTAGCATATCTGTAGGTTATTCTCTTCTAGAAGGAACCCAAGCCATTATATTTGTGTAATTAATGGGTGTCACATAAATCAGCTATTTGTGTGATTTTTATTGTGTTTAGACTTTGCTGTCCTTTTTTCAGACCAAAAAAATAAAAAGACTTTACTGTCCTTTTCTGTTTGGTTATATTTTGGCACCAGCAACAATCTCATAGGCATTAGAGAAGGCATTGCTCTGTATTTGGAAGCCATATTCTTGGTGAATTACTGGTTTCCCTCTTCTCATCTATTGTGAGATTCGGGAACTTTTATATATTTTGTATGTGCTTAATTTCTCTTGTGGAAGTTGCTGTTGGAAATGTTTTCTTAAGGGCATTTTTTTTAATGTAAACTAATCACGTTCTTCATACACTTTGCAATTGTAGAGAACAATGTGCATATGTTTAAAAAGAAATATATTAAGCATACATGGGTTAGGCCATTTGTCGAAGATAGTGTGCCCGGTGGCCCCGCCCCTTAAACCCGAGCTTAATCCCTCTCTTGGTAGTTTAGTTTAGAAATAATATCAAAACTAGCATCATAAAACCACTCTACCTCATTTTCCATATCAGATTGCTCTTTAACCTCAAACCATATCTTTAGAGGTCATGCTAAGACTATACTAAAAAGTGGGAGCTCTGGATGAGGAGGTAAAAAGGAAAACTAAAGAAATAACAATTCAAATTTGTTTATATGAGCAGCATTGCCGTTCATATAATAATAAAAGGGGCATAAATAATAAAAGGGGCATATACTCATGTCAAGCATATTTGACAAGGGGATTATTCGCAGCAATAGTCCCTCAATTATACCCCAAGTTACATTTTGGTCACTCAACTCAAATATTAGTTGCAGAGGTCACTCAATTAGGTGTTTTGTTGCACCGTTACCGTCAAGTCTCTCTAACGGTAGGGACTAATGGTGCAACACAACACCTAATTGAGTGACCAATCTCCAAGAATTTTTTGATGAACTCTCTCTTGTTTTTTGTTTTATTTTTCTTCCTGAAGTATACAATAATGCACATGGGATGGGAAAAGAATGAGGACCCTCAGTGGTTAGTTTAAGCCAATGTTGTGATTTACTTTCAAACATTTGAATATGCTAAATATCAGTCTTCAGATATAGTTTTTACATCTCTATAACCTGTAATGCAGCTTAATAAATTAGTTTTCTTTTTGTTACTGTATATTTCTAAAGTGAAAGGATGACTTTAATCTTAGGGTTCTTTGCAATTTTGGTAATTACAATTGGATTTTTTTCTCTTTCCTTGGCCTTCAACCTCACCAATTTGAAGAGTAGAGGCTACCCATATGAGGAATTGGGTGGGCAAGAGAAGAGTAGAACTACCCAAGAGCAACTCCGAGTATAGTTGAGGGATCATTGCTATAAATAATCTTAACTGAAAAGTCACATTTGCCCATCAATAATCTAAGAGATGCTTGCCACGTTATCATTTTAAACAGAAAAAGTAACAGACTTGACGGTAGGACTAACGGTGCAACAAAACACCTAATTGTGTGACCTCTGCGACTAATATTTGAGTTGAGTGACCAAAATGTAACTTGGGGTATAGTTGAGGGACTATTGCTGCGAATAACCCCCTTGTCAAATATGCTTGACATGAGTATATGCCCCTTTTATTATTTATGCCCCTTTTATTATTATATGAACGGCAATGCTGCTCATATAAACAAATTTGAATTGTTATTTCTTTAGTTTTCCTTTTTACCTCCTCATCCAGAGCTCCCACTTTTTAGTATAGTCTTAGCATGACCTCTAAAGATATGGTTTGAGGTTAAAGAGCAATCTGATATGGAAAATGAGGTAGAGTGGTTTTATGATGCTAGTTTTGATATTATTTAAAATAGGGTTTCTTTAGGTGGAGATGAAGAAGAGAATGGTGGTTGCAGTAGTTTGTAAATGGTAATTAGTTTGAGGTTAAAAATTGTGGAAGCTTTGGATAATTACAGAACATTCAAAGTAAACCGAGTATAGCCGCGCGGCTATACTGTTTTTGTACACGTGGCAAACCGGGCGGTAGGGGGTTGGCGGGTGGTCCTTCTTAAATCACAACTAGTATCGCTGAGCGGCTATACTTGGGGTTATTTTTTTTAAAAAGGCGTATAGCTGGTCGGCTATACTCCGGTTTTTATTATAAAACTCGTATAGCCGTGCGGCTATACTATTTTTGACGCAGCGAGTGCTGATCGCCAGACGGGTTTTTTTAATTAATAAATAGTATATAGTATAGCCGCACGGCTAGACTACGGTTTTTTTAAAATAAATAATATAGCCGATCGGCTATATTATGGTTTTTTATTTTAAAAAAATAGTATAGCCGCAGTTTTTATTTTAAAAAATAGTATAGCCGGGTGGCGATGCTATTTTTGACACGTGACGAAGCGGTCCTAACGCCAGGCCCGTGATCATTTTTTCCTTAAACAAATAGTATAGCCGATCGGCTATACCAGGGGTTATGTTTAGTAAAACAAGTATAGCCGTCGGGCTATACTACGGTTTTGATTATCTAAAAATAGTATAGCCGCGCGGCTGTACTATTTTTGACACGTGGCGAAATGAAAGCTAGGCGCAGCGGCCATTTTTGTAAATAGTATAGCCGCCCGGCTATACCCGGTTTTTTAAATAAAAAGCTTATAAAAAAAATAGTATAGCCGCTCGGCTATACGCGGGATATTTTTTTTGAAAGGGTTATTGTTACCGACATGTTAATTAAACATGACAGATATTGGACTGACAGTTAACACTACGATAAAAAGAAACCCCCTTCAGATATCCTTCAGCAAATTGGTTTCTTGCATCCCAAGTACTGTCGTCTGTTCAAGTAAATGTCACTGTAAATTTTGCTGTCTGCTTCACCTCAGTGAATGCAATTACATCAGTCACCACGGTGATATCAACCCCATCTGGTGGGGCAACCCACGCATAGTTAAAGGCAGAGCCAACATTAGTCACTGTCCTTGTAAAGGTCTGAGGACTGTTACTGAATGCAACCGAAAATGAAGGATAGTTGAGTTGTGCTGCAGGTATGCCTTTTGAACTTTATCACTGTATGTAGTGTTGTGTGATCATGCCTATCTCAGTGTCTGTAAGATTCAAGTCACACAAGTAATTGACATACTCATCAGGATGGATGTCGTAGACTAACCTCAGATCGCTTGCTTTTGATGGGTTAACATGTCCAGCGCCAATAGCAATGAATTTGGCTGGAAGAAGATCAGAATCAAGGATTGGGTTTCCTTTAAGATTTACAACATCAGCTGTTGTCACGATTGCAGATTTTATCGCGGCCGGAGACCAGTCAGGGTGGGCGCTCTTGATCAAAGCTGCAATGCCACTTGAATTTGATCCTTATTTGATTTTATTGTTGCCATAATGTTACGAAGTAGAATCATGTGATTTCTGCCATAAGATTTCAAATTAGCGGGGAAGATCAGTCTGCAATTGGAGAAGCCAGTTCACCATATCCATATGTATAATGTATGGTCATTTCTTTCTTTCATAGGACAGCACATTTAGTAACTGAAAGTTGACAAATTTGCATGGTACTTAACCAGTCTTGGGAGCCTATCTTAATTTGACAGATTCAAATTTTGGTCTTCACTCAAGGCTTGGTTCTCTGATATAAGATACTATTTGAATATGAGTAACACTTAAGGTCAATTGGCATTTTTGATTTATTTCATTTGCTTTCTTAAGAGGAACAACCAGAACAGCCCTGTCTAAATGAATTCAAGTGCTTCCCCTTTACTCGGTCAAGATATGAGTGCACACGAACTTTTCTTCTTTTAATTTTTTCTAATTATACAATAAAACATATTTATATTAGAAGGATGCATACATATTGATATCACTTTCTGGGATACATATAGAGGTTGCTGTAGAGTTTAAACTGAACTTTTCTAAGGTGAGTAGCAGCATCCTATCGTCGTTTTTGAATGCGACAGAAATTGGGCTACTAACACCATGTACAGCAGAAATCCATTGCAGGGAGCCTCGAGCAAATAACTTATGGCCAGCACTCTGACTATAGCCCTCATCATCTAGGCTGAAAGTCACTTTGTAAGTTGCTGTCTGTTTCAGCTTGGTGAACACAATCTCCTCAGGCTTTAATTGAATGCTTACAAACAACCTTCACAGTGTAATTTGATGAAGCTGAGCCAACATTAGTCACTGTCCTTGTAACCACCTGCGGACTTGATCCAAATGTTATCGAAAATGAAGGGTAGTTCAGCTGTGATTCAGGTATGCCTTTTATCTTTGAGCAGTTCACTGCTTTTTGTGTTATTGCTTCTACCTCTTTGTCTTTGTACTTGAAACCGCACAAATAAGGAATGTAAT